GAGCATTCCTTCCCCTCTGCCCCGCTCTCCAAGAGCTCTGCGACGAGGACTCAGTACTCCTGGTCCTTCGATGCCATCTAGAAACAAAGACATGTGGATAAGCAAAATTTACCCACCAAACAAAAACGGATGCTACTAACACCTACCAGGCAGTAGCGTGAGCAGTCACGTCGATATTCACCCCCAGGAACTTCCCGATTCCATGCCACCTCAAAGCACTATCATGTTATCACTCACTTGGAGATCGACCTCTAGGAATTCCCCACCGAGCGACTCGATCTGCTCCTTCACGGCAGGCCTGACGTCGAACGCCTTCACCACTGCCCCCATGTTCTTGGCCGTCTGCACGGCCGCGAGGCCCGCCACTCCGCCCCCCAAGACGAGCACCTTCAAAAAAAAAAAAACAGCGGTGTTGGTTGGTAATGGGCAATCATCATGCATCCTCAAGCGGCGGCGGGGAGATGGACGCACGCGTGTCGCAAGAGAAAGCGACGTGAAGGTAGATATCGGGGGCAGGGGAAATGGTTGGGCACTCCTGTGCGTTGTACCTGAGATAGGGAAGCCATTCGTGCTACGTTTTCAACCGTGTTTGCTTTGGAAATCTAGAAACCGACGAATGGAAGGGGATAACTCGCTTGTACGCAGGGTGCCCATTTTTGGCAAACCCTTGGGGAGGAGAGCACTGCTCGCCCCCCACCACCCTGGACTTGAGTCCTAGCCATGTGCTTGTACGGGGCACCGACACCAAGAATGCCGTACCCTCTGCCTCATTACCCCTCAACGAGCCCGGCCCAACTCCGTGCACCACACCGCCGTCCAAGTCTGGGGCCGAAGTTGGTCACCACCACGACGCTTAGCGCTGCCAACGCCGAGCTAGCTCGCTCTAGGGTTGGTCACTGATTTTGTCCGTTTTTCTGTTTACCTGTCTGCCTGTCTCTCTCTTCATGAAAAGAAATCGAGTCAGCCTCAGCTGCCTATCAATACCGGGGGAAATAAGCATGTTTATGCATACATCCACCTGTCAAGACCTTTCCTCCTTGTTCCTCCCGCCGTATTTCCAAATCTTCTGTCCTCTCTCTCGAAGCTATCTACGTATCATGCCCACCTTCGCGGGGGGGATGCGTCCGGCCGCCGTAGTCTGCCCCGCGAAGAACCTGTCGAAGTGGTGAGCCGCCTCCAACACGGCCCGGTATCCCGCGATGTTGGCTTGCGAGCTCAGCACGTCGAAGGCCTGCGAGGCACACCAATAGCGAAGAATCAAACCAAGGACGGCCGTGATTGGGTAGGGAGGGAGGGTGGGGGAGGGTACACACGGTATATGTTCGAGTCTCGGATACATTGAATTCCTGGATTCGTCTCACGTTGTGCGTAGAATACCGCAGGTGGGTCGGTTCCCGGCTAAAGATGTCCCAGCAGGGCCATGAAGCTAACACGCATGAACAACAAGGAAAGCAAGCATCCGGAACCCTCATCAACATCGCGCTCCCCTTTGCATACGCAGCAGCGTTCATACGGGACAGGCAGCAGTAGGAACCCTTGTTCCACACTCGGTCCGCCAGGAAAACAAGACGCTTCAACCGGCCGGGCCTCACGACGAACAACGGAAGAGGGCCACCCTCACAACAAGACGAGAACAACAAATTAATCTCACCACCGCACAGGATGTTGTTGCAGTAGTAGAACAAATCACGCAACCGCCGCACGGGATTAAATTGTTCTTGTCGCTGTCGCTGTCGCAGCACACTCGCAGAAACACAACCGCACGGGAAGAAACGTCACAAAAGTAGGAAGCCCTCCGTCTACCTGCCCTCGGCTGAGAGTTCTGGGAAGCTGGTCCATGGCCAGCACCGTCGCGCCCTGCTTGGCCATCTGCTCCAGCAGCTCCTTGTTCTGCGCGGGCCAGAAGAGCGACATGATGGCCCTAGACTCGAGCAGCGCCGCCTCCTCCGTCGTAGGCGGGTTGACCTTCATCACCAGATCAGACTGCCATACCTGAGTGAAAGACACGCACGACACATGACATATTCGGTACAGCAGTTGTAGCGGAGAAAAGAACAAAGAGAGTTGGAGGAGCAAGAGGGAAATATATACCGGCGAGGGTGGGGATGAAACGGGGGAGGGCATATTTTGCACTGATGGACTAGCTTGGCCTACCGCTGATGTACTCTTGCATCATTTCGCCAAACTAGCCACGTGTGTGTTTCGGTCGGGAAGCAGAAGATTTTTCTACATGTTTTGGGGGGCTTGTTCCCCGACTTGTCCATTTCCCATACGAAACAAACACCTCTCTTCGTCGTCCTCTCTCTATCTCTCTTTCTCGTCTGGTATTCACCCACACACACACACACACACACAGCGCGTGCACTCCCTTCTATTATCCCCTCTCCACCCCGCCATCCCGCCGTCATGGAGAGCATCCGGCTGCTGGGAGGTGTCTCTCCGGCAAGAAGCAAGTCATATCCAACGCAAAAAATACACAAGAACAAAAGAAGAAACCTTCGGGCGCCCTGCTGCTCAAGGATTAAAAAAAAAACGCACCTTGTCCTTCCCGACGATGTTCGCCCCCGCCGCCTCGTACCCCTTGTCCGAGCACTGGGACGCTTCCCCGGCCCCGGCCTCTACGTTAACCGTGATGCCCAGCTTGACGAGCTTGGCGACAGTGTCCGGGGTCTGCGCCACCCTCTTCTCCAGCGGCGTTATCTCCTTGGGCACGCCGACGCTCATCTCCGAGTACGGGATGGCCTAGCATAAATTATTGTTGTTTTAAGGGGTGTCGTGCGCACACGTGGTGCGTTAGTTTCGGAAGCGGGTAACAAGGAAGCGACGGAGGGAAATAACGGTAAATAAGATCGAGTGCTGAGAGGGGCGGAGGGTTGCATCCTTCGTCACGAATCTCACCACCCCGATAGAAAGGACGAGTGCATGTGTGCGGTGAAATAAAAAATTGCGTATTTTGTATTTTGTGTGTTGTTCAGAGTGGCCTAGAAATGAGGTAGGTTACGATCTGCTAGAGCTCTGACAGGATGCCCTCAGATTGACCCGGCCGACACCGCAACATTGGACGGGCTACAAATCATCCCGCGGAGCCCCTGCCAATCATCCCGCGGAGTCCCGTCGTCTCGGGGCGGGCTGTTCTTCTCGAAAGCTTCCTACTCCTTCAAACAGCACAGACGTTGAGATCGCGGCGCAACTTCGACCCGACGTTCCAATCAACAAGTGCATACATCCTTGTCCGGGGGCTCTCAGCCTGCCATGTGCCTGGTCAATGTTTTACCAGTTTGTTTGTTGAGTCACTAAAATAGCAACGCGCTCGGATCACTCCTCCCTCGAAAACAGGTCAACTCAATACGAGGTTCGTTCCGAAAATTGTCCAGAAACTCATGTATTGGCACTCGACTGACGGCCTTTTCACTACCATTCCCTATGGCCCAGGCGGTGGAATCCGAGGATTAATCTCGCCGCAGTATGTTTAAGATCCCGCTCGCGTACCGTACAAACGCGGTCGTACCTTATCTATCAGAATATCTGGTATACCAAGCCAACTCACTCTAGCCCTCGTTAATACAATATGCACACACGACAGATTCGGCGCCGATGTACCGGCACTAAAAATAACCCGTTGTGCTCGCCGGTTCACAACCAGGAGTGTTGTGTATCAAGAAATTTACGGGGGGTATATAGAAACTGATATATACCCCTCCGCTGGAATCAGATATTGATATTTCCTGATATTTGAGGAAATATCAAAACAGGTTCGTATATTGTGTATAGGGGGTATGTATTGGGGTATTTTTGGGGTATATTGAAGAGATTAACACGCTCACGAGTGCAGGAGTACGTACGTACCTGACGGCGTACTGTAGCCAATAGCCATATAATACCGATTGATCATCTACGTTGAATCCGCGGATATAGTGGCAAGCTGCAACGCTTCTTGACCCTGCTGCTGTCATCAGGCTCGCCAAAGACTCAACAGCGAAGAGGATCGCAATTGCTAGCTGCCGGCGTATGGATGACCGCGAAACCATTATTTTGTTCATTGGACGAAAACAAGAAGACGTAGACTTTGCATCCAAACAGCTCTCTGAACAAAAACAACCGATACATGTATTACACGATCTACGGCACAACCGCCCCTTTCCCGGTCTCCCGAAAAAACAAAACAACGGATTATCGAATGTACTACTGGCTACTAGCTAAGCTACCATAGCATGCATGTGGTTCGAGCTTAGGAAAATAATGTTCTCGGCGTTGACATCGTTAAGCCTGTCGCGCTTGGCAGTAACGATCAACGCTGCCTCCGAGAAGCGTCGCTGCCGAAGCAGGGGATCCCTTTGCCGAAGAGGGATCCCTCTGCCGAAGAGGATTCACTACGTACAGATGACTGGGACTCTGACATAGTGGTGTGGTGGTAGTGTGGTGGTGTGTGCCCAAGAGTATCAAGAAATATTCAGATATATACCCTGATACATTCCCGAGCAACACAAATCACATCTAGTAATACCCTATTAAATAATGTTGATGTATCAGATATTGCACTTGATATATCAATTTCCTGATATATCCGGACATTGCCCTGAAAAAAAGCCGATACTGATATACCATATTCTGGGGTATATTGGATGTTTCCTGATATATGAAATTTTTGATACACGGCACTATTATATGATAACAGCCATACCCAACGAAGCGGCGAAACCACGAGCACCTTGCAGACACATCGTAGCCCGGCCACCATGAAAGAAAAGGCTTTCAGCAACGAACGGTAACACCTGTAACTTCAACATGCAGCATCGCGTTTCCACTGCCGCTATCATAAGCACTCCGACGACCGTCCAAGAGAGCAATGCGGTCCCGATCCCACCCAGCAGAGTTCCCCCATTCTCCATCGAAAACGATCCTGTCGATGTGATGTGTGTGTCACCACGTCTTACCTAGCCCCCCTGGTCACCCCCCCCCCGCCCCCATCCGCCCGC